TCCATTGTTAACAGTAAGAAAAAGCGTGAAAAGAAATTTTCTGTTTTAAATAATTTTTCTTATTATTAGGTAGCAAAAGATGATCAAATGGAATCTATTCGACAATCACGACCTGAAGAAAAAAGTTATACCGGTTATCATACAGTTCATAATTTAGAAATCCCAAATTTATCAATAACAGTAAATGAAATTTTATCATATTTATTTTTCAAATGATTTTACTTTATTTTAGACATTTGCTGGTCCATATTTACAAATCGAAAGTACACCACTGGAATTATTTAACAAAGGTCGACAAACAGCATTGAACTAATAAGAATATATACACACAGTCATTTTTTATTATTCAAAAATATAATAAGATTATTTTTTATATTTTTTTAAACAAATATTTTTATTCTCCATTTTTTAATACAACGAGTATCTTAAAATAATTTATCTTTTTCGAAGTTGACTACAAATATACGGGTAACAAATACGATAGTAATAGAATCGAGCATTGTTCAATTGTTGTCTATATACACTAGTAATTATGCTTCCTGTACTTTTGGTTTAACTGTAAGAACAATCATTGTTTGTTGAGAAGAAAATAGATAATTTTTTAAGAGACGATTTAATGAATAATCATTTAAAAGATATCGTTTTATATTATTATGATTGTATAATTGTCTTATTAAGTTTAATAGAGAATAATTAGTTGAATTTAAATTAGTTAATAAACTAGTTGGTCGTATCGAACAAATAGGTGCTAAATGTAAAAAAAGAAATGAACTAGTTAAACATGGTTGTTCACGATGAATATTAACAATAAATATTTGATGAGCAAATGGCATTTTTGTACTAAGACGATTTACGGCTATATCGACATCATCAGAAGTTTGTAATGATATTTCACATGATGGTAAAAGAAGTATTTTTTTACCTGGAGATAAATATAAATGATCTTTAAAATAAAAATTTTCTTCACATACCTGTATCGATCAAACGTAATCGTTGCATATTAACAATATCACAAAGAGAATTATTAAAAAATGCTAAATTCATACATGTCATATGTATTGAATTATTTTTCAAAATCTGTTTCAAACTATTTGATAGAGTTTTATAAATATAATGAATAAATAATGATCGATATTGTTCGGATTGTTTATGATCATCAATAAGAATACAAACTGATCTATAATTGTCATTGCAAGTTAATAGAAGTTGTGAATCGATAAGTTGTTCTAATGAACTATCGGAGTTATTTAGTATTATTTGTAATTGTTTACAAGCTAGAGTGTTTTTAGATGCTCTAGCAATAATTGTATGATTTTGTGCTTTATATTGATAAATGGATTTAGAATTGTTGAGATGTAACTTTGTAATAGATGGTTGTCGTGTAATAAATGATGTGTTATATTGAAGTGGATTGATTGGAATTGAAGATGAACGATACTGAAATTGCTTCGAGGAAAGTAATTGAATAATGTATGATTTTTTTCGACGACGTAAACGTTGGAGGAAACTACAAGCAAGTTTTTTATTTCGATGTTGTCGTCTTTTCTTAAGTATAGATCGATAAAAATTATTTTTTAACTGAAATAATTCTGAACTATGCCAGTTATTGTTTTGATCAAATACCAGTTTTTCATACTTTGTATGACTGGATTTATAATACTTGTTATCTTGTCTATCAGATGAAATTGTATTAGTATCGTTCAAAAAAGAATCTATCAAAGTACTAGGTTCATTCAGATCAATCATATCATAAGCATTAACACATTTTGGTGGTGATGATGGTAATAGATGTTTATCGAAAGATGTTGAATTCATTGTTTTTTCTTCAAAAGTATCTATGAATTCATCTTTACTATAATCTTTTGTTTCTGATTCGATTTCTTTATTTAATTGAGTTTTATTTTGAATGAATAACGATGTTGTAAGTGAATGTTGCGTATTTTCTATGGAATCTTCTACTTCTATCTGTTGTTCATTGTTTTTAATTAAATAAGAAAGAGTATTTATTTGACAAGTACGTGTTACATGCATTAGTGTACTTGTTTCAATCTTTGCTGATGTTATTTCACTTAATGGACTTTGTGGTAAAAGAATAGCAAATAATTTAGTTTGTGTTCCTTGAGCTATACATTCTGTTGAAATTTCAGATGAATTATTATGAAATGATAAACTATTGTTTGATTTAATAGTATTTGGTGATATGATTAAACGAGATACTGTTGAGAATTTTTGTGAAAACAAATGAAGTGATGTTGAACTATTAACTAATTGATCAACAGTATTAAATTTCAATGAACTTTGTTTATTATAATTATTTTGCGAAAATGTTATTAACTTAAAAGTAAAAAAAAAAGATTTATTTCTTTGTTTTCAAATATAATAATTAGAAGTTTCTATAAACCAAACAATTTTTTTATAATCAAGTAGCCCCAAAGATAGAGTTTAATCAACATATTTCACTACAACCAAAGATTTATTTTCGCTGAAAATTTGTAAAGAACTTTTTTTTGTACCTTTATTTCATGTTTATTAATAGCATAAAGATTTTCTTTTGTTTCATCGTAAATTTGTTTTGCACATTGATGGTCATAGAGTACTGATTGACGGTAGAAATTCTGCTTCATATTTGTTTTGTTACTAAAAATATCCAGTGAGAACGAGATATTCTTTTGTTGATCAACATCTGGTGATAGTTGAGTAGGTGCTGAAATATTCTCTTGTTGTGTCGCTTCTAAAGTAACTCGACAATATGTACAATACGTTTTTAATTGTTCAAAACATGAACACTCGATTATAGCTAGTTCATATTCATGTGAATTTATTGAACAATTACATTCAAGTAGAATCATTTCAAATATTTTATAGCATTGATTTTGTTGTAGAAATGATAATAAACTCCTATTAATATCGATATATTTATACCATGGATTAATAACACAAGTAGAATTCAATCGAATGACTAATGCATCAGAACTTTTTCGAAAATGAGTACCATGTGTAAAATTGATTTTTCCGTTGTGATGAAAAACTTTCCAAGTAGATATAAACTGATGTTTTCGATCAAGAATTGAACGATAATTTTCAATAATTTTATATGTTTCATTACAATGACATTGTTTATGTTTTTCGTTCTATAAAGAGAAATAAATTATAGAGAATTGTAATTTTAAATTAAAATCATATTGACATTACAAAATGATATTGTTTCAATGAATTTATATGTTTAGACATTGATATAAATATAAAAATCGTTGGATCTTATGATTAGAAAAATACGATAAATAAACAGCTGTGTGTTCTAGCTGAATTGCGCCAATGTTCTCGATGATTAGTTCATTTTGCTATCGTTTTAAGATGTGTAAAAGAAAAAGATAGTTATAAACTTGATTAATATCAGAATTTTTTTTAATCTTATTTTATTATAAAACTAGAAGATATATTGCTAAGAGTCATCATGCACATTGATTACTTATGCTTGTAGCATATTTGGCTTGTTTCTCATTCATATAAGCTTGCAACATGCGTCAACTCCGTATTACTTTATTAACGTCTGTCTTTGTACTGTCTATAGTTAAATAAAAGAAAACGAGAAAAAAGTATCAGTTATGTATCCTAATCAACAGCAATATCCACGACTAGGTGGAGGAGCAGGTGTTTCTAATCCTTCATATCTACAGTAATCATCATACAATGCTAGTGAAGCGTATCAACAACAACAATAACCACCTTTCGGTGATATACCACAATACGGTATTGCAGCAGGTTTAGGAGGGTAATAAGTACGATCGATTATTTATAAATATATTATTTAGATTGGCATAAATCGAATATGTTTAGTCAAAAACTGTGTACAGATTCCTCTTCTCAATTTAATATGTAGTTCAAGGAGCAATTCGTTTTAATTTCTTGGTTTCTTCATGCTTTAAATCAGACAAAATAAATAGTTCTTAATAAACTATTTAATTTATCTGTTAGTCAAAAAAAAGAGTATGAAGTCAATGTATCTCATGTAAAATAAGAAGAAGTAAGAAAAGTACCTTTTACTTTCAACTAAATACAAATTATCTTACTGTTTTAAATATTTATTCATTTCCTTCCTTCTAGAAATGCAATCCATATATAGTCCTCAACGTCGAAAATATATATTTATATCAATTGTTTCTATTCTTATGATTATTACTATGGCTCGATATTTTGTTAATCATATATTTCCTATGGAAATAAGTTCATGGTATTCACCGTTGTGCCCCTATTCATTCAGAATCAATGGTAATTATATAGTTTATGATAATTCCTCGTATTATATCCATCACTATCCTGAATTTATCTGTCCACAAAATTTTCGAAATTTAGCTGATTGGGTTTATGGTTGGCCTCCATATAGATCTGAGGAAAAAATTGAATATCCCACAAGTGAAAACGAGTTAAATATACCAAATCTTCGAAATGGTAGTATTATTTATGTTGGAGCTAGAGTCGACAGTATTTCATCTTTTTTCTCAAATATATATCCATATTTAACGAATAAGTTTGTACTAATCACTGGTGAAGGTGATCATCCGATGCCAGGCCAATTTCTTCATTATCTTGAAGAATCTGATTCAAAAATTACTCATTGGTTCGGTCAAAATGGGGATATCGATGCAAAAGGAAATGAACGTTTTACACATATACCAATTGGTAAGTATAGAATATACTAATAGCCTCTTAAAACAAAAAGTTTGAATATATTTATAGAAACAAAACCTGAATTTTGTTTATTTTATATTGCACATTTCACAAATTAAGCTATAGTGTTTTCGATTTCATGTCTTTGATGCATACGAATTTTTCCACTATGAAACTATTATACTTGTATTTATGTAAGTTTTTACGATAGTTTGCATAAGAGTTCTTCCATTATTCTTTCGACAGAAATTTTTAGGGATTAATAGAATTTAGTCGTTGATCTTCTCTTCTCTCAAAAATATATAACTTCTTAATAGATTCATTATTTCTTACAAATAATACAATCATTAGAACATCTTTCACCTGTTCCATTTTTATAGGTATTAATTGTTTTCAAATGGCAGAAGGTATTCGAGGTGTTCATCAACAATCTCGAAAACATATTCTTCCACCTGTCAGCAATAATAATCTTGATGAACCACCTTATTATATACAACCACTTGATATTACACAAAATGTGTTGACAAATGAAAATCAACCAGATAAATTAGTTCTTATTAATTTCGGTATTGGTACCGATCCAACTGGTTTACGAAGACAGATATGGGAAGATTTATGTGAAAATAATCAAAATTCATTTACGATTTGTTATAGTAAGCGCCCTAAAGTGAATATTTCAAGTTTACCTACTATTTATAAACGAAATCGACAGTATCCATTATGGTTATCACCTCGTGGTGGTGGGCTTGATTGTCATCGAACATGGGAAGCTTTGTATCTTGATATTATTCCTATTGTTTGGCATTCAACACTTGATTCATTATATACAAATCTACCCATTATTATTATCAAGGATTGGAGTGAAGTCAATGAAGAATTTCTTCGAAATAAACTTCATGAAATAGCAATGAAAAAAGCTCAACAACCATCTGTATATCAATATGAAAAACTAAGAAATGCTTATTGGCGTGAGATAATAATAGAAAAATCTCGATATGCTCTCAATAAAAAAGACATGGAGAGAAATCGATGTTAGCAAGCTAAAACTATTCTATAACTTTGTTTTTAAATAATACAATCTGAATAAAATTTATAAACAAATTAAATTATATTGAATAATTTTGTTCGATTCAATATTTTTTATTTAATCTACAATATTTCTAATTTTGATACGATTAAGTAAAATATAAATTATTCTCTCGAATGATATAGCTTTTATTGTTTTTAATTAACTATTTTCTTCTAGAATTTTACATTCTTCAAGAAGTGTAAAGATGAAATTTTTTTATGATAACATCGTATTAGCACATACTTTAGCAATAAAACTCTTTCTCTACAAAAGCATTTCATTCAGTTTGAATACATGTAATATATTAAATAAAATTGATTTGATTTTTACGAGTAAAATTTTGAACAATTACTTGAAAAGTTTTCATAAATATTAGATTGAAATTCTATAGATGAATAGCGACATAATTACTGTATCTATTGTGGATGCAACGGTGACGATAAACGTTCCATCTTGAGGATGTAGGTGTGGGTATTTATTTCATCTATCACTAACTTCTACCCCACACCGACTCCTACTCTCACACCCACGCCTAGAAGATGGAACGTTTACTGGTTCAGACCGGTCACCGATTCATAATGTGAACCGGTGGCTAACCGTCATCGTTCCATCCCTAGTATCTAGCCATATGTTTATAATAATGAATAAAGCTATGAATCTTCCATACATTTACAACAAAAAAACACGACAGTAATAACGAGTGAGTTATAAAAAATAGATCATTTAGGACTTTGTGTAGAATTCTTAAAGATGATATTTAAAACGACAGTGTTTTTTAAAAATTCTTTAGGCTGTTATTGATGATATCAAGTTGGATACGATTATCTTTATGTGAAAAATTTAGCTAGTTATTTTAAATTTCATAGAGATATACTAGAAAAATATTATTAAATTCATAAGAAAAATAAATTAGAAGCTATTTTAATGTTATGTATGTTGTATATGTAATGAATCATTTGAAGAATTGATAAAGATCTATCATAATGAATATTTTTATCTACATGCTCACTCTCATCATTCGAAGTAAAACTTTATTTGTTTTTGTACCTTTTTCTTTGACATTTATTTTCTGCTATTCTAATCTTAAAAGTATTATTTAAAAAAGGATGTGAACCATTAGCACATATATAAACGAATTAGAGAAACAGGTAAAAAATGATTATATTATTGAATTTTTAAAGGTATGTTTTATCTATTATTTAGATGTTACACTTTATTCATTAGATCGTCATATGTTAGTTTATTATGTTGAATTTCAATTTATCAGATTAAATAAACCAAATTCTCGAAGTGCACGTCCTTTATATAACTCAAAACTTTGTCGATTGCAATTCCAAATGAACATTAATGTAAAGTTCACTTATTAACCTACATTTCTTTCATTTATAAATAAATTTATTATTAGATTAACGATTTATATATCGAAGAAACATTAACATTTCTTTCACAACCATTTGGAGTTTGTTCGCATGCTCAATATTTTCCTGAATATGTTGCTAAAGTACTTATCTATGAAATACAACAAACACCTCAACACGTATGAAATATAGTAAATTATCAATCTTAAATGTATGTATTATTCTAGTTTAATCATATAATTCACCCGGATATTATAACTGATTTTACCTGTCGATATCACACACGTATTACAGGTGTCGAAACAAAACTTCATATTAAACGTTATATTTTTCAATAATTACTAATCAAACTGGTAGCTGATGGTATACAATGACATTGTTTATCTTTTTCTTTCTATAAATAGAAATGAATTATAGAGAATTGTAATTTTAAATTAAAATCAAATTGACATTACAAAATGATATTGTTTTAATGAATTTATAAGTTTAGACATTGATATAAATATAAAAATCGTTGGATCTTATGATTAGAAAAATACGATAAATAAACAGCTGTGTGTTCTAGTTGAATTGCGCCAATGTTCTCGATGATTAGTTCATTTTGCTATCGTTTTAAGATGTGTAAAAGAAAAAGATAGTTATAAACTTGATTAATATCAGAATTTTTTTTAATCTTATTTTATTATAAAACTAGAAGATATATTACTAAGAGTCACCACGCACCAGAGGTGCAGAATCTTCCTCATGCGCCCCCGCGGGGGGGGGGGAAA